TTTATGTACATGTTGGCAGCCTGGAAGGAAAGGACAGAACTAAAAGATATCTCTCCTTCCGTTAAATTTTAATAGGCTTTCTAGCAAAAATTGTGGAATATATTGAAGGTGTACAATCTTTGTGGGACCTGCTTTTCAAGTTGCCTGCTAAAAATTCCAGGTTGATATTTTTGTTCTAATGTCACGTAAAGAAGGATTTGCTGCTCTTAAACTGTTGTTTTGAGTTACTGATGCCCTTGTGACATAGTGGTGCAAAAATTCATTTACAAGTGGGAAGTGGTGGGTTCAATCTTGCTCGTTATCTCAAGCTTAGCTTGCCCTTGTAATCGATCACACACACATGATTAAGAAAAAACCTCTTTCTTTTTTTTTCCCGTGAAAGTTTTACTATTTTGAAATATGTGTTACCACTGCCTCCTAGCCTAAAGCCTTTTTAGGAGGATTGGGAAGAGCCTTAATATATGGCAACATCTTTGAGGTGAGATTCTGATATGGCTTTGTTGAGATTTTCCCTGGCTTTTATTTTCTTAATCTTTATATGTTGCACTCCCCTTCCCCTCTCCTTAAGGGCCACATATCCCTTCAAGTTCAAGTTCAGGGAACTCCAGTCTTCCTTTACTAGCATGATTTGCATAGCTCTGAGAAATGATCAAATGTTCCACAGAGAACATTGAATTATCAGTTGAACACGTTCTTTAACTTCAAAATAAAACCTCAGTATTTCCCAAGAATCTCTCAAGCACTATAGCTTTTAAGATAGATCAAAGTCATGTTATTATCAACCGATGAAATTTTGTTTCTTAAAATGCATGCCTTTTTAACAAGTAAATCTGTCCCCTTCCTTGGGATATTTTTTATTTACAGATTACTTTTATTCTGTGATTTCTTTTATCTAGTTATTTATGATGAGTGACCTGTAAGCTTTGGCAAATCCAGATTTTCTACTAGGTATTTTTAAACCCAGCTGGCTGCTCTAGTACCAAATCATAAAGGCTATGCATCAAATTGCATACCAATTTCTTACATTTTCTTGTGGCAATCTTGGAACTGAAAAACACCTTGAGTAGTTTTCTGCCCACTGTGAGCCTATCTTTCCTGTTTCTGTGGTAGAGGCCATTTTCTGTTAGCTTCTCAGGTTTTATACTGTAGTCCAATTTTCGAGAAGCTGAGTAAATCTAATTTGTCACTGCAGCTGCAAATTTAAGGGCAATATGCCTCTTGTTGTTCATGCAGTCAGACTAGCCTAGCAGTTGTTTAACCAATTTAGGTCTAGATAAACTGGCAAGACATTGATATAAACTTATAGGAAGAAAAATTTCCAATTGTTGAACTTTTAGTTGTAAAGTACAATTCTCTCCTTCACGAGTTTGGTGTGAGGCTGCATTGAAGGAGTACTGTGTTCTATTGGGAAGTTATTTTTCCATTTCCGAAGCAGCCACCCATATTTGTAGCTTGATGCTGTTACTGGAAAGATACATTCAACACTGGAGCAGCTGAATGGGTTCTTAGTTGAGTAAGTTATGCAGCTTGCCAAATGGTAAATTCTTTTGTTTGTTTTCCTTTTCGATTCCCTCCTATGTGTGGCAATGAATGTAACAATCTCCTATTCCATTCATTGATGCCAATGTTTCTTTTTAGGCCGGTAGGAAACTGCTCATAATGATGAATGAGATAACAGCTCTTGTCCAGTGTTAGATCAGAATTTTTTATTTTATTGGGTGTTCCACTCTGTTTATTATTTCGGGTCGATTGAATTTGTTTTGTTGGTTGACCACTGATTGGTTTCTCGCCTCATTTGCTCTATCCAAGCTATGGTCTGTGTATAACTTGTTAGTGTTTGTGGGCTTTAAAGCTGAGATTGACAAAGCTTGCTTATCATAGTGAGGGACTAGGTGATGTCCAGAGGCGGTGTCAAACTAAAGAAGTTATTTATGAGTAGATCTGTTGATGCGCTGAAGGATGGCTTTTGATTGTTCAAGTTTGTAGTAGACCCATAATATAGTAAGTTAATTATATAGAGAAGGTCACCTTGATCTCCAAATTTCATATCTCTTGGCGAGGATTTTTTCTTGATTTTCACTGATAGCCAAGATTGAAGTGGGTGACAATGAATTATTTCTCCGTCATATAGTAAGTTGATTGTTCAGAGAAGGTGACATTGATCTCTTCTCCAAACTCCAGATCTGTGAGGGTATTTGGTTAATTTTCACCAATAATTTATACAAGGCATGACAATTTGCTGACTTTTTCTTGCCGCGTTTTGCTGCTGAGTACTGCCCTCGCAACCTAACTAGGAAAGAAGAGACAAATGGAGGTCCTTGGGATGACTGTTATAAAGTAGCCTTGTCAATTCTGTTGTCAGTTTTGGCAGTTACTTAGATCCTATGAGCAAGTGTTGCTCACCAAGTTATCTGCGTTGTTGTGTGCGCTGTAGTTCAATAAAATGTTTTCTTTCATCCACACATTCATGTGTTTTGCCAATCTATATATATGAGAGCTACATATCATAGCAACTTAGCTACTATTTATTCCCTTTTGCCATGAATAACATGCGTGTTTTCCTGATCTAAATATTATAACCATAGCAGCCTAACTGCTGTACAAACTTATGTCCTGAAGAGCATCTGTTTTGCTGATCTTTAGATGATGACTACATGCCATAGCAGCTTAACTGCTATTCTAACTCTCGCCCTGAAGTTCAGAATTGGTTTGTTCAATGTGGTTCTGCTTCCCTAATTAGCTGATAATACTTTCCTGACATTGTAAATCTATAAGTTTTTGGATATGAAAAAGCCCACTCAGCCTGCTATTATATTAGTTTCTATCTACTGTTTTGTCCTAGAATTATGTTATCCTTTTGCCTGTTTCTCAAAAGTGTGCTTTATTGTGACATAGTTGAATCATTTTGCTTTTAGGTCATGCCCATTGGAACCTGTGAACTAATCTGTTGCTGCTGCTTTTGTCATTAGTCACTTCTGAATATTGTCAGGTACTCGTTCGTTTGCTAATTTGCTTTCCATGTTTATCATTTATCATCGTGGTCCCTTTGTTTTTCCATTTTTTTGAATGAAAAATGGCAACTTTTTATATATTCCCTATGTTTCGGACTTCTCACCATCAAAATTATTCATTTCAAATTTTTTTGTTATGTGTTGTGAAAGATAATTGTAATTTCAAATCATTGACTAATTCACACGTAGAAGCCTCTCTTGTGTTTTGATGTGAAATCCTGATTTTGATGACTCAAGTAGATAACTAATATCTTTTTGTCTAATATAGCCTTATAATTCTGAAATTGTAATTTGGACTTAAAAATGACGCTGGATGGGGATAATCTGATATATTTTTGGAAAAGTCATTGGTTGTTTAGGATCAAGGGCTTATTACTTTACTGATCTGTTTGACTAGGGAATTGCTACCGTCGATTGTTGATGGGAATGAACCTGTTTGACTCAGGTGTTGCTATGAAGATGCAGTGTTTGAAAAGCTCAACGGTAATGCTTTGTTTAGAAGACTCGTTGTTATCTTTATAATTTTTTGAGTTGTGCTGTTGATCTGGGATTTGAGCATTTGAAGTTTTAATTTATGAATTTGTCCATGTTTGCAGGGTACAAAACCCATTCAGTTTCAACCGGTGTCCATTTGTTGCTTGGAGGTTTATCTACAGAAGGTGACGCGAAAAAACTGGGAATCAAGACAACCTTCGTAGAAGAAAACCACAAGCTACTCGGAACAACCCCACCCCCAAGAAATTAAAAAAAAAAAAAGAAGAGGGAAAAATTGTCCAAGTGTTGCTCGCAGCTAGTTCAAGGAACTTCCGACGCTCACGAATTCGAGCTTATGAATATCACTTGCGCTTGGTTGCTTTGTAAAAAATTTACGAGGGCCCTTCTGTAATATTCTATGGATACAGTTGGAGAAAGATTGATAACTTCCAATGTTGGGGCAACCGCCATTGTTGGCTCCGCTTTTGTGAATATCGATTCTGACCCTAAGCCCTTATAAGTATGAACAGTTTCAAAGATTGGTAGCTCTCTCTCTCTCTCTTGTGTGTGTGTGGATAGAATCGAAGATCATTAACTTGCTATTTCTTAGGGGAATTGTTTGGGTGTTGCCCAAAACAAGCGATTACTGCTGGCGCATGGGTCGCATAGCAGTAGAAATTTTCAGAATATCTCAAGCGATCATTGATAAGTTTTAGGATTAGATCCTTTGTCTGCTCCTAGTATTGCTTTCTCGTTCGTGCAAATGATATATCCTTAATATAAGATCATGTGTAAAATTATGAAAATTAATTTAGTTATTTATCAAAAAAAAAAAAGGAAAAATTGCAATAAGGTTCAGGTTCTAGTCAGAAGAATTAAATACAAAAATATTTTAAATCATCAAATTAATTTGAAGTTTTAAGCAATCTTGTTGCAAAAAATTTTATTTGTTGAATTGCTAAATTGGTTTTTTTTTTTTTTTTTTTAAAGTATGTATTTATAACTGAAAGTACAGTTATTGACAACTTAAAATGTAACGATTAATAGCTATCGTTAAAGATATTGACAATTTATGCGTGATTTTTTGTGATGTGAAAAAATATGTTATTAATACCTGTTGCTATAGTTGTTAATCGTTCCACTTTAGGTTGTTAATGAGTGCTTTTTCAGTTGTTGATATATATTTTTTAAAAAAAAAAAGACAATTTGATAATTAAACAAATAAAATCTCTTGCAACACGGGTCTCTTAGATTTTAAAATAATTTGATAATTTCAAAAGATCTTTTTATATTTAATTCTCTTTAGTGGAACCTATTATAATTTTTCTTAAAAAATGTGTTTTCCCCCCTAAATATCCTCTAATTTGTATTATTTCATAGTATATGCTACCGATGAGAAGGGTTCTAAAAATTAATAATTATGAGGATAAAAGTATATTAAGATTTTATATTTCAGGTCAAATTTAAATCCTAATTAGTTTCCATACCAGGGACTAGAAAAAGAGTTCCTCTTATTTTAGGAACACCGAAACATTCATGCCAGTTTCCCTAACTAAGACGAAAGCACGCAATAACTTGCAAAAGCATCCAGAAGATCAAAGCATAAAAGAAGAAAGAAAATAAAGCAAGTTCTAGTTTTGGAGATAGAGAACCGTTTTTAGCCATGAAATCTATTTGTGATTTTTTGTAGCTTTTGATTTGTGGAACAAGTAGCTCCCAATTGCAGCTTTATTTTCTGATATCCTTCTCTTTGTGGGCGATCTTCTAGATTTAATCCTTTTAGGGATAATCCTAAATTTAAATTGAATTAGACCAAAAATAATATATTTTCGAATTTTATCATCTGAAATCTTGACACATTCAATTTCTTTTATATTATAAACTAATTTACTATCAAGCCGATTAAATATCATGAAAATTACTCACAAAAGCATGAATATTTGAGAATCAACACGCCCCTAAATTGTATCTTTTGGAATTGAAGTTATATTTTATGATGTGTGTACCAGAGTTATCTCAATTAAGCACAACATTATTCATCTCATCTGATTATGATCCCAAATAGTTGTATTAAAAAAAAAGAATTTAATTTAATTTAGATTTACTAGTCATTCGTATTCTTCATATCAAAATAATTACGACCTACTCATTCTTTTAATTTTTACATGCTTATATATATTTAGTTTGAATAATTTGATTTTGATTTTTAAATTTGATCTTGACATAAAATTTTTTACTCCCATATTGATAAGATATTTTAATTTTATGATATACATTTTTTAGCAAATAAAAAACCTGTTTTGGTCAGAAATCAGAATCCAACCTGTGACTCGTGAGTAATCATGTTATATCTATTTTTTGTGTTTAATGTGCCAATCAGATTACAGGAAGCCAGACAAAAACAGGATAAAGATAAAATCTAAAAACATCAAAATTTTCAGAACGATTTAAAAGATTTACTTGAACTAAAATTGACAACAGAATTTAAGAGAATCTATATATAGAGAAATTCTTTATATTTTCCACATAAGTATCTACAAAATGGGATAAGGTAGAAACAAAATCGAATAATTCATTAAGAGATTTTACCAAACAAGAAATTAAACCTAAACTATCTCACTGGAAAAAAAAAAGGAAAAAAAAAAAAACTGAAATTTACATTGACAGCTCCAAATAACAAATCCTAACTGGATTTCTATTTGTTGCCGCAATTGAAAATTAAAAAAACAGAAAATATTAAATTTACATTGCTCCACATATCAAATTTGCATATATAAATATATGCATATTCTTGAATGTCTGCACCAGGGATTCCAACAATGGTGAGGAAGGTGAAGTTTTGTTGGGGTTTGATAGCAGTTTTATCACTGTTTGGAGTAGTTTCTGGGAATTTTAATGGTGAATATATATCAGCAATTGGTGATCCTGGAATGACAAGAGATGGCCTCAGAGTTGCCATTGAGTCTTGGAATCAATGCAATGAGGTTGGAGAAGAAGCTCCCAACATGGGAAGCCCTAGAATGGCTGATTGCTTTGATGTCAATTATTTTGGTGAGTTTTCATTATTATTTACCTTTATTTTTCTTTGTTTTTTTTTTTTCCTTCTAATTTTTATACTTGCATTGTGCCTTTTGTTAACCTTCAAAATATACTTGGTTGATTTTCTGGAGTCTCTTTCACCAACCTCCTTTGACATGGTTCAAACTAAAATTCCAGGACATTTATAACTTTAACTCCTTAAAAAGCTTTATGAGAAATAAAAAAACTAAACGATTTTTATATCTGATTGTGACTTTAACAAAGAGAAAAGTTGGAAGGTTTAGACTTTAATGAAAATCAAGAACATTTCATGCTTTGATTCGGATCATCTTATGCTTAATCTATCATTCTGTTAGAGAGATAATAATGCAAAGAAATCTAGAAGTTTATGTTCAGAATTGCACATATTTCCCTTCTGTCATTCCAAAAGCACAATCCAGAAACACCCAAATTATAACACAAGTTATTAAAAGAATCCCATCTTCTGGAATTCCATACAAGCTATACTGCATTGAATTGGCAATTCTCAATTTCTGAATATGAAATCTTTATCCATAAAAAACAGGGGATATCAAGCTAATTCACAAGGTGCGAGAATGGCAGAACAAGCTGGGCATATCCAACACACACTACCCAATCACAAACAAAAGTGCAGATCTCTTTGCAGCATGGAAAGAAATATACTTAGGCCAAAACTGTGAAGTAATAGACTTTCCAAGGCCATGGCAGTTCTGGATGATAATGCTTAAGAGTGGCAATATGGACACTTTAGCTGCCGTGTGCCCAGAAAATGGCAAAAAGGCAAAGCCTTTTAACCAAACCAGTAGGTTTCCTTGCTTTGGAAAAGGCTGCATGAACATGCCTTCTATGTACCACAATTACACCACACTGTATCAGAATGAGAATGATGGTAGCATGATGATGAAGGGAAGGTTCTACGGCTCATGGGATCTTGAAATTGATCAAGATGATGTGGATAAAGCAGTAGATATGAATGATACTTCTTATTACTCAGTAACTTGGGAGAAACCAGTGGCCAAGGGAAGTTGGGTGTTTCACCATTTGTTGAAAACTTCTTCCAAGTATCCATGGCTCATGCTCTATTTGAGATCAGATGCTACCTCTGGCTTCTCTGGAGGCTACCATTATTCCACAAGAGGCATGTCCAAATTGTAAGTTCCTTTCACCTTCTTGTTCTTTCTGCTAGATCCAAACCCCCCCGGCTGGTTTCTTTTTACCATTTTAATTCTACAAATATCATAGAATTGGGCACATGACCTTGGTTCTTGATTTGCATGCAAAACTTTCATAGGTACCAAAGTCACCACGTTTCAAGGTAAGGTTCACACTTGACATAAAACGAGGAGGGGGTCCTAACAGCCAATTCTACCTTATGGACATGGGAAGCTGTTGGAAGAACGATGGTCGTCCCTGCGACGGTGACGTCACCTCTGACGTAACCCGTTATAGTGAAATGATCATCAACCCAGAGACTGAAGCATGGTGCAAGCCCACCAGACTTGACCAGTGTCCGCCGTATCACACCTTCGCAAACGGCACTCGGGTTCACCGGAACGACACCGTCCGCTTCCCCTACGACGCTTACCATGTGTACTGTGCTCCTGGCAATGCCAAGTACTTGGAGCAACCGGCAAATACTTGTGACCCGTATAGCAACCCACAGCCACAAGAGATTCTGCAGATTTTGCCCCACCCGGTTTGGGGCGAATACGGGTACCCAACCAAAAAAGGCGAAGGGTGGGTCGGGGACCCGAGAAATTGGGAGCTTGATGTTGGAAGGCTTTCTCAGTCACTTCATTTCTATCAAGTTAGTTCTCAAAGAATGAACTTTTCAAAGTTCTTTTTTTTTTTCTTTTTCAGGACTTGGAATTAAGATTTAGTGATGAATATTTGTTGATGCAGGATCCAGGCACAAGACCTGTGGAGAGATACTGGCCATCTATTGACTTGGGAACTGAAATCTACATCAGTAATGTTAGCGAAATAGCAGAATGGACAGTCAGCGATTTTGATATCATCATTCCAAAGCATGCTTATTGAACTCCCATGATTCAGACCCTGAGAGGAAGTTAGAATAAAAGCTCGGGACGATGGGTGTTTCTCCATCTTTTTCTTTTTCTTTTGGCCCCTCGCCATTGCAGTATTTGGAGTTCACTTCCACTTCATTATGTAATTCTTGTCAAGGATGACTTGAATTATATTTACTTCTTAGACTTGTACACCTGGTGCACAACTTTTATGCGGTTCTAAATTTATTTCTTAGGTGATTTGTGAAAGAGAGCAATTTCTGCGGGAGTGACTCATTCTGTAAAGGAGTTCTACCTCAAACTGCTGAGAATTCTTATCATTAAAATTAGTCTTGAAACTCTGATGCGGAGGCTTTCATGCGGTACTTGCAATGAGAGGGTTTTGTGTAGTACAGCAATCAAATCTAACATTTTTAGAACATTCTTGTCACAGATAATCCTTGAATCAAGATAACCAAGTTTTTATTGAACAATGGAATGATGTGAAAATATAATTTACAAATACAGAAATCTGAGAGGGGAATATGAAAACCAAACCCTAACCCCATCTAAAATTTAATCAGCTTCTTCCTTCCAAGTTCCAACTACTCCAACTACAACTACTGGCATTGAAGCCCTTAAAACCTAACTATGACAACCCACACTAAAAAGCCCCAGAAGAATGTCTATGAGCTGCAATAGCCACTGCAGCAGCACCAACAGCACCAAACTGAGACTGTGCCTGCAGCAACTTAGCATCCATTGTGGTGGCAGCATCATCCATGTTATCTACCTTGGATTGTTGGAAGTAAGGGTTAGTGTTGAGGTCAATAGTTTGTCTGGCTAGTGAGTTAGCCTGCTGCTGGGATGGCTGTTTTCCCTGTGACAGATCCCTGCATGTCTCTGGCACAATCCTTGCTGGGTTTGTGGGTTGAGCCCTAAAGGGGCAGTGGGGAGATACCGAAGGAGGAAGAGCATTTTTGCTCAAGATTCTTGGATCATAGTTGCTTTTGACATTTCTCCCATTCTCGTAGGGTAGAACTGGCCCTACAACTTTGCCCGGTTTAGCTGTAAGAAGAAAGAAAAGCAGTTAATACAGTTAATATTTATATGGAGACAGGGTAGAAGTAGCCAAAAACAGATCATACTGGGCTTCGAATTATGTAGCTAAAATACAATAGGCTCCATCAATAAACAAAATCATGACCCTAACTAACAGATAAAATGATAATGAACTTCTGATCCTCCAAGGCAATTATATAAACTATCCTCCCGTGTACTTGTTTTTTGGTTACTTTGGCTCCAAGATTCAAACTCAAATCTTTCGACCTTGGAGGCAATCCTACCACTAAGCTAGACCTTGGTTGTTAAATCAAAAGATTTAAATGTGATTACAGAGGCAATCATTTATGTAGTTGTTATACCTGTTGGCACCCTTGGAGGAGGTCGTGAACCCCTTAAATGACTTTCAGAACTTGATTCTGTTGCTCTCAAATTCTTAGACACCTCCACTGGTATTTGCTTGTTCCCATATGCAGCGCCATGTGTATAAGGAGGAATTGGGCTAGAATGAACAGTGGACCTTCAAAATGAAAATTTTTCCTCAATAAATGCTGCTAAATTAAACATGTAGACATGCAAACGGAAGCCAGAAATTAATGATACAAGTGCATGTCAGTCTTACCTTGGAAGAGAGGCATGCTTCCTTTCTGGAGGAATCACTGGGCCACTTTTACCACCATTTTCCTCAAAATAAGCAAACTGCTTTCTGAATTGACCAATTGCACTGCAATGGAGTACATGTCGGTAAATTACATGTTCAGAACATAAACATATATTAACCATGAAACTACATTAAACCAACCAATAAATAAAAATAAAAAGACAGCAGGCGTAATGTACCATGCGCAAAAAACATACTCTTTACCTAGGACAGAGGAAATTTGTGCTTTCAGTTCCATTCATGTAATCTTTAAGCAACTGAGGGTGATATTCAAGTATCTCCCTATATATTAGTTCCCTAACATCTTCTTTAGTCACCCTTCGCCTCTCAAACTCAAATTCCAGCTTTGAAATTGGCTGACAAGATGGTTCTCTCTCGACCTTACCCAAGCCCTTAAAGTATGGATCAGCTAGTGCCTGCCAACCATACAGAAAAATCAGTTCCTATCAATTCATACTGAAACAAAAAACTTCTTTTCCTAATAGACCCAGGAGCTAACATATGACCAAATATGTATGATAGCTGAACAGATACCTCTTCAGCAGTTGGACGATCCTTAGGATCAAATGCCAAAAGCCTTTGCAATAGGCGAAGTGCCAATGGATCAGCATTTGGAAATTTCTGTTCAAATGGCACAGGAGATTTTTTCCCCATTTCTGTCAAGTACTTCCTTGCCTTTTCATTACGAACCTGCAAAATTAAATATAAGTTTCAATTACTCACCATATTAGTATCCAAGTTTACATGAAGGGAACATGGTAAGAAACGAAATAATCTAGAAAAACGGAAAAGAAAGTAGTCCATACTCCAGAAATAGTCTCCAGTGTTGGTGTCCCAAGAAGATCAGTAATCAAATCTAATTGATGCACAACGCTTTTACCAGGGAACAACGGCTTTCCTGTAAGCACCTCAGCAAAGATGCATCCAATGCTCCATATATCAATTGCTGGTGTATACTGCAAACACAATGGTATCAAAATCAGACTATGAAAGAAGGACAACTACACACTGCAACCAAGCCACTCCAGAGGAATAGACGTAACCTGACACGTTTACCTGAAGGACAGATAACTCAACTTGCAGGAGAGATCAATAGTCCTTCCTGAACAAGAATTGTTATAATCTAGGCATTATTGTTTACTATAAATCATACAGACCTTGTTTCATACAGAAATTAAAGCATAACTTTTAAGTCAAGCAAGCAACACTTATTTTCACAATCACACCTCCTCCCTTTTGGGTTCAGTAACACTGGCCTTGTAACATACCGGAAAGAAAAATCAACCCAAAAAGAGATAACATGGTGCTGACTTATTAAAATCATATAAACTTCCACGGTTCTATGATTCCTTGCTCAAGCCTAATTTCCTTCACATATGTGCCTACAGTAAAGGGGTCAGGTCCTACAAACATTTCATGGCAAAACGTAAGAGGATGCCTTGCTTACAATTCGATAATCTTTTCATCATCCACAGCCAGACATCTAACATGGACATACCACTTTTTAAACTGCACAGATGGCCACATAGCGGATAGGCCTTCAGAGACTATAACCTAAGTCATAGGATTCTCAAGAATATAAATGTTAGCCAAATTATACCTTAGAAAAGAATGATCCACACAGCTCTGGAGCTCTGTACCATCTTGTAGCCACATAATCCTGCAGGACGTACCAAAATCAAGCTATGATAAGCCTCACTGGACCTGATAAAGCGTGTAAAAACAGTTATAACTTCTATAAGCTTTATTTGCCAATTTGAAGTGAATCAAACTACATACTGTCCAAAATATTGTTGTTGGGGCATCATTGAATGCAACTCTGGCCAGTCCAAAATCACAAACTTTGAGTTTGCAATTTGCATTTGCCAATATATTCTTGGGTTTAAGGTCTCTGTGATACACATTTGCTGCAACCAGATGCAAGCTTGTTTAGAACTTACAAGTACTGAAACGGTCAATTCAAGATACAGCTGGCATATTTTGTGAAAAGCATCCAATGAATAGCAAGAATTGACATAAAAAGTCAAACAAGTGAAAGAGAAAATTAGAGAAACAAATACCTGTATGCATGTACTTCAATGCACGTAGCATCTGGTAAAGGAAAAACTGATGGTGCTCACGTGTCAAGTCATCATTAGCTTTGATGACTTGATGGAGATCAGACTCCATCAATTCAAAGACGACATAAATATCTTTAAACTCCCTCTTTGAAGGTGGCAACATGATGCGCTTAATCTCGACAATATCAGGGTGTCTTAATAGCCGTAGCAGCTTGACCTCGCGGAGAATTCTAATGGCATCAGATATATGCTCAAAAATATCATGAATCTTTTTTATTGCAACTTTTTCCCCAGTGTGCTTGTCAATTGCGGCACAAACTACTCCATAGCTTCCTTTTCCTATAGCTTCAAGAATCTTATATCTATTTGCATCCCCATACTCAGTGAAAAAGTCCAATTCTTTAACATCCTGCACATCAATAGAACGTGTAAAATTGTATGTTCTATTAGAACTAATTACTAATGAATGAAACTAAGGTCAGGTCACCTGGAAAACTAGAATTCGAATAAACCAGATCCAAATTCCAAGTGGGAGTAAGAATTAACCAATTGTTTTTTTAATTTAACAAAGCAGCACACAAGGCAATTGATGTTCCCGAAACAATATGATTTGAAAGCCGAAGTAAAAAAAACCATCAAGTAGGTCTTTAATGGGGGGAAAAATGAACGAATTCTAAAAACATAAAGATTTCAAGAACAAATGAAATGCACAGAATCAGTGTAGTAGATTTTTCAGAAGTCAATGTAAATGAGAATTTACGCTTTAAAATTCTAATCAACAAAATTTTGCAGGACATAATTCAATCTGACCCCCGATCAAAATTTTAAAACTTAATATAAAATTACGATAAGACCGATCAACATCGAAAAGTCAGAAGCAGAGAATCCCCTACTGCACATTCAAGAACTTTATTTGAGGCCAACGCATATTCAAGAACCACGACAACGAAAGAAAAGAACTTCTTTACATCAAAAACCCCGCCATCCTTCGTTTTTCACAGATATTTATAAGTATTCCTTCCTTCAACTTCAGGGCCCGAAATTCCAGTCTCTTATCATTCCCAACACTTCGTCAGTTTATAGCACATCAACAAGGTCTACTAACAGAAAGACAGTCGTGAATTGGAGCAAGAAACAACCTTCTTGAGCTGATCTCGCTGCATCTTGGTCAAGGTCTTCTATTTGCAATTCCCCTTCTCTTCTTGGACACAATCTTTATAACCTTTCAGCAAATAGATCAAGCAGAAGGCAAAGTCTTCGGAGTAAAACTAGCCGCATTCACCCCACCTCGACCTACTTCGAATCACAAGCCCAGAATCCCTTTCCGCACTCCGCTTGAAACCACACATACATCAATCGCAAGCGAACTCCTTCCTCATACACCCACTGAAAACCCCAGATCAAAGATCGAACAAATTATCCTCAATTCAGAAACAAAACGAGCAATTACCGACCGATTCGAAACTGATACAGCTCCGAGATCGGGTATCAATCTAGTGAAACATTAGCTAGGGGACAACTCGAGGTAAGAGTGAAGCAGAAGCTCAACACTTGATAGGATCTGAACACACAGGCTAGAGAGAGATCCCAAGAGCCAAGGACCATATATAGAAAATGAAATGGTGAAGAGGAGGCAGAAAATGGCTGATTTTTATATGAACACGTTAAATCCTATTCAAAAAAATTTGAACAAATTATTAAATTAAATAACTACTATTTGAACTTCAGAAAGAAAAAAATTTGTGTGGCAGGATTTGTTTGGTGGTGTGATGAGAATTGACATCCAGTCCTCACTCGCCAAGAACAAACTTAGTTGGAAAATACTCAGTACCACTAAATTAGTTTAATAATATTATATATGTTCTGTGCGTTGCGACATCAGCCGTTTATAAATTTATTATGCTTTATATTAAAATTTTTATATTATTCATATAAATCATCATTTCTATGGAAGTTTTATTTCAGGCAAATATTTAGATGGAATTAAAACTATGATTTTAAAAGTGTTTTTATAGTATACGAAATAAATATGTGAAGGGGTTTGTTCGTTTTGTGAAAAAGTATTTCTGAGAAGCACTTTTGGATACTTCCAAACACTTTTGAAATCTTCTATTAGGCTAAACTAAAATTAAAACAGTGAGGATATCAGGCCCTAAATTGCCCATATCTGGCTCTACAAAATCTTTTACTAATTAATTTTAAGCTCTAAGAATAAAAGAAGGGAGAATAGATTCTAAGGAAAAAATTTAATCACTAAAAAAATCCATTAATGAGTAAAAAGCATATAATAACAAATTTTAATACAGAAAATAACAATAGATTGATCTTGTTTACTTATCATTAACATTTTTTAGTAATTAAAATTTTATAGCAATTCTCTTTGAAAAAATTGGAAGTTCAATACTACCTTCGTGATTAGATGAATTCCTTCTTGTTTTTTAACTGATTTTTAATACAATTAATTTGAATACATATATAGAACCTTGATATTAGGCTTAAACTGATTACCTCATTTAAGCTTTTCAAGTGTCGGCAAAATAAAAAATACATGGACAATAATTTAAACCACATGTTGTTTAACATTTCTTTTCTAACCGATTGAAAGATTATTAGATCCATTTAAAATAACTTATAAACAGTTTTTAAATCGTAATCTACAGAATACAAAATAAATATATAAGAGAAGTTTTGTTGTAAAATATATTTATAAGTATTTAGTTAAGCAAACCCAAATGATCACTGTGTTGCAGCATTATAAGGTGAGATACTTCCAACACATGCAATAAGAAGAAAAATAGAGGTCCAGAAATAAAGACGATGTGATATTTTATCTGTAACGAAGATTCATTTGATGGGAGGAGGATGGATATTCTTTGAATGCTTGATATTCCGACGCTGGGACCCATCTTCCCCAACACTTTTCTTTCCAAGGTCAAAAATTACCCACAGAAATAGGAAAAAAAATTACAATCAAATCCTATAAAAAAGAAATAATTACTAAAAAATCCTAATAACAATCTCAACAGCTTATAACAACAAGTCTTATAGTGAGAATGATAATTGTTGAGACTTGTTTTTTAATTGTTTTCTTTGTAATTCTTCCAAAAAGAAAGAAACAACTAAGGAGTAAGGGCTGGCCATCGCGTGATGCAGTAAACGTTAAAAAGATATAAAATGAAAATAAAAATACCGGCAATCTCAATTTTTCCAATGAACAAATTTATATGGCCCAAATATATAATCTTCCAAATATAAGATCAAATATATTACCTCCAATTATTAATACTACCTCTGGTCCTTAATATAAGACCCCGTTTAACTTTTTGTTTGGTCCTAATTATAAGACCCCAATCCATTTTGTCTCTTATATTTATGCATTTTTTTCAAGATAGTCCTTCTAATAATGATAGTTCTAGCCATTACACTTAATTAGTAAGGATATTTTGGGAATGACAACACTTATTTATTACAAATAACTAGCTTAACTTACTTCCTTAATCTCTCCAAATAAGTCAACTGGGTCTTATAATTAGGACCGGAGGTAATATAAAAACTAGTTTGACTTTTAATTTAACTTTAAATATAATATATCAATTCATTTTGTTTCCCATATTTACTTTTTTCTTTAGTATCATCCTTACAGTAGTTGCACATGTTAAAAAATATCATCACATGATAATTTTAACCAATACACATGATTAGCAATGATACTTTATTTATTATAAATAACAAATTTAATTAATTTTTTAATCTATTTAAATTAATTAATTAGTTTTTATATTAAAAACAAAGATTGTACTCCTTCAGTCTTAAATATAAAACTTATTTTATAATATAATTTACATTATAAAATTAATTTTATATTTAGCATCATAGGAGTATTTTATTTCCTCCTACCTTTGAGTCTTTGACTCTTTGACTCTCTTACTCCCCGAAGAAACAAACGAAATCACCTGGAAATTACTAATAGATATTTATATATTGCGAATCCTTTTATGACTTTTTCTGCATGGTTGGTGTTGCTTTTCGTCATCCTTCCGCCCCTTCTTAGCTGTCATGTTCCCTGAGGAATTATTTATTTATTTCCACAAAAGATGGTGCTTCAATAAAAGCCCTTCCCTTCCACAAAGACCGTTAAAGATTTGTTAGTGCAACTGCGACTTCAAAGTAATTCAGTTTTATTTATGCTACAAATATATAATTAATTTATAAATATTAAAAAATTAATTTAATTATTTTTTACAAAAATATATGCTGTTTTTTTAAAATTCTTCGTTTAATTATCTACTGAGTTTTTAATATAATAACTATTTAATTAAAAATAAATGTGAAATGAGTCGTTATTGTAGTAAATGACAATAAAAATAAATAAAACTTATATATTTTAAATATCAGGCACATAGGGATCCCTCCTTTGTCTATTAGGGTGAAATCGCCTAAATGCACCGCCCACGCCTATCCATGGCATGGGCGGTGGGAACCAATTAGTTAATTAATTTTTTTATATTTAAAATATTAAATTCCAGCCAATATAGGAAATATTGTTATTATTATTATTATACCTATGATACTTAACATAATAGTTAGTTGACTACTTTAAGTAAATTAAAAAAAGTAAATAAGTTAGTTATTTATAATAAATATGTGTTATCTTTCTTAAAATATTATTACTAATCATATGTCTTAATTAGAACTGTAATTTGATGAAACATTAACATATGTAACTCTTACTCTAGTAAAAAAAAACATGTGTAGCTACTACGAGAATTATTTAAAAAATAAATAAATATGAAATATAAAGTGAATTGAATTTTGTATTTATGATCACATTAAATATCAAACTAGCTCTTAAGGATTGGATCAATTAGTGGCAAGTCATTAGTCCCAAATTTAGAGGTGTTCAAGGCCGGCCCGTCCTGATCAACCCGTTTCGGTCCCGATTTTATTGGGACGGGACAGGCCCGTCTCAAAATTTTTTAGAACTAGACAAACTAGGACGGGACAAAAAAAGGGACCAGGATGGGATAGGACAAAAAAAGAGACCAAGATAGGACGGGACATGGGACGGGGTCATCCTATCCTGGTCCCTTTTATTTTTTTTCCTATTTATGTAATATTATTTTTTTAAGATTTGAAATTATTGTATGAAATTATGAATATATTTATTTAGAGCTTTTATACTTGTTGATAATTTGAGACTATTGATGATTAGAATTTCTAGCAAGTTTTTATTATGTTAAAAGCTTTTATTTAGAGTTTTTAACGACTATAATATGTAATATTTTAAGCTTTTATTTAAGAGTGCTCAAAGAAATAAAAAAAAACAAAAATATGTTTTTACAAGATTTAAGTCCAAAAAACTACAATTAGAAAAAAAAACAGATTTTATTAAAAAAATTAAGAGAAAATTAAAAAAATATCGGGACGTCCTTGTCTCGTCTCATCTCGACTAGGATTGAGACAACACTGAGACGAGACGGGACAGGTCTGTCCCGGTCCTGATCCGTTCTGTAAACAGCCCTATCCAAACTATTAGCCTTTGCCTAACATTGTTACCATATTCAATGTTGTCTTTATACTATCATTTTATTTAAAAAATATTTGTAAATATAATTAAGGCAAAATTCTTAAAAAGATTATTGTTAAATTTTTTATTGATTTGGAATTTTGAAACTTAACAATCATTTTTTTGGGATTTCTCCTATAATTAATGTGATATATTGTTGGCCAAAAAATTTAAATGCGATATCTTGTCTTTAAAAAGAATTCTGAAAAATCGCAATAAGTTTTCATAATATCTTTACCTGTCTCAAATTTCTGAACATGAGTAACAAAGAGAATTAGATGACTTTATTATTATTTTTTATTTAGGAATAAAATTTTAATAGAGTAAAGCTTGCTTGAATTTATAATTCATAAGTATTCCCCTCCTTTCATTTTTCTTTTTAAGCAAAAAGTAATTCCACCCAGCAAACGAAATTTTAGATGTTTCCCCAGCCTAACTGACAAAAGATATGAACTAATTATTTAAAGCAAAATGTTGACAGAAATATAAAGACATAAAAGAACAGAAATAAACTGTTATCGTCACAATTACATTAATTAATAAGAATAAGAATATGATAAATTTTCTTAAATTAAAAGTTTTCATTTTTTATAACTCAAACAGAATTTCTCTCCATTACTTATATCAATTGGGCCATCTGAGTGAAACAGTTATTAAAATCGCAACGCCAATGGATCAGCTTATATGAAGCCCATCTTAACAATTCAAGGAAAGTGTCAGAAAAAACTGGATCAAATTTTTTATATCTATTTTATTAAATTTTCAAGTCATATATGATTATATGTATTTTTTTTGGCCTCAAATACATTTATAAATAAATAATAATATTTTAAAACTATTACACATAGTTATATATGATTAGAAAACTTGACACTATATATATAAGAAATTTAATGTAAGTATTATCTTAAAATACTACTTCTAGTCTTTAATACAAGACCTTGTTTTTGAAAAAAAAATGAGATCTTATTTAAATTTTATTTTGATCCTAAATATAAATATAAGATTTCAATCTATTTTATCTCTCATATCTATGTATTTTTTTCTAAAGTAGT